TGGGTTTCCCCAGCCACTTTGGGCAGCTTCCAGAAAAATATTAAAATACAATAATTCATCAAATATTAAAAGCTTCCCTAAACAGGGCTGCCTTCAGATGTATTTTAAATGTCAGATAGTTGTTTATTTCTTTGACATCTGATGGAATGTTTTGTGTCTAGTATGTTCAAAGATCTTGTGTCCATTTCAAAGATGGAATGGTTGGGTACTTCATTACTATCTTGCTTCTAACCTGATCTAGTTTTTGTTAATGGAGCCAATTTGGCATTGCAATGATAAGCAGAACTTTATTTTGTAGAATATTCCTTTGGATTTCTGGGTAAGGTCTAGTGACTTTTGTTAGGAAGGCAGAGGGAAATCTATTGAATGTCTCTTGTTAGTTCACTTTGGTGCTCTTATATTTTGTAATTTCCTTTTGTTAGGCAGACCTTGATTGGCAGTGGATTGTAATTTGTTCTCATTCTTCCATTGATTTAAATCCTGAGCAGGATTTAACTAAAGTGACTCTGATATGCAACAGAACAGAGCAATGTGTATTCAAGCCTAGGAAGGAATGTGGAAAGTAGCAATATCAAGTGAATCTGAAGCTTTGATGGGCCATTTCTGATTTCATTAACACTGGGCTGAACTTTCAATTAACTCTGATGATGCAAGACGACCTGCACCTTTATTCCTGACAGAGGCGCGGCATCTAATAACTGCACAACAGGCAGGGGAAAAAATTACCTTCCATGCAGCTCTTAAAAGTAATGAGCCTTTGAGTGAGAAAATGACAAGCTGGTCCCACTCCAAAATTCCTGAAAAACGTTTTCAGGCCTCTCATTTCTTGTGAATTTTAATACTTATTTGCAGAAATGCTTCAGAGCACATTAGCTTGGAGACTCGGAAAATCAGCAGAGTTATTTGATAATAACTAAAACACAGAAAGTTGCCAGGAAAACTTGAAAATATACACAAGGGGTAGTCTGAAAATCTTGGTACAGGGGAATTGAAACAGGTATTTTTTTGCATGCAAATCAGGCGTTCTACTCCTGAGCTATGGCTCTTCCCTCTAAATACAAACCCCACAGTAACATGAAAACATATAGCATGCTGTCTTTGGGAATAGCTGTGTGGCTGGGGCAACCCTGATTTCCCAGTGCTGGTAATATTGTTTGTTTTACTTCCAAATTTGTTCTGAGTAGAGGCATTTCCAGGGAAGGGTTCCTTTATGCCCCACTACCAAAGCCAGGAGACAGATTTCCCCATCCTTCATACTCCTCTCCCATCAAGCAAATGAATGAGCGGGTGCAGCCCTGCTCCTGCTGGCACAGTTGGAACCTTCTGGCAGTGGCCAAATATGGTCTTCTCAGGAGCTGCTTTCTGGTTGGTGCTTGTTGGTGGAATCTGGGCCTCCTTTCAGGGCAAGGTACTGGCAAAGGTCTGGCAATTCCCTATGACCCATCACCCAAGTCATTTTGATGGGATGACCAAGGCAAGGGAAGGAGAAGTGACTATCTCTTTTCCTTTCTTCTGTCACCAGCACTGTACCTGCCAGGGAAGTCCCAAGTTTCTCCTGGTTTTCTTGGGTGAAATTCTGGAAATTCACAATCCAGTTTGAGGAGACCCCCAGAGAATTAGTTCATCCTCAATTAGAAACAGCAGACCAGAGAACTACCCTCTATTGGTAGAAGTGTGGGCCTTGAGAATCTCATTTAGTTATATAAGTAATTGACAAATATGGCTTTGGATGGGTAAGAAGCCTGAATGAGCTTGGAGAACGTGCTTTTGTTATAATAGCATTTCCTACTGTTTTGATACACTCATGTTAGTATGTAAAAGCACAGAAATGGCCTTTTGTAGTGGTATGCTCAACAGGAAGAAGCTGGTTAGCAAATGCCAAAATAAAATAGAATTATTGTTAACTTTGGATAAGCTGAGTGGGGGAAGGTTAGTTTAGAGCTGAAATTCAGGTAGATGCCAGCAGGATAATCTGCTTCTAATTTATTTTCTCCTCTTCCCTGCTGTTGCAACTGCAGAGACTATAATCACTGCAACTACAAATGGCTAACATACTTTTCATATGAATATTACAACAATGTGTTCAACTTGTTCACAAACTCACTTAGAAAGCAATCCTCCCTTTATATGCAGTTACCTGAGAGTAAGAGTCTTTGAACTGCATGGAACTTACTTTTGAGTAAACATGCATAGGTTTGCAGATTAGTGGCTTCTGAATAAAGGATGTTGATTTCCCCCAATCATTAGGGAGAGATTTAGCAAGAGAACCCTTTCCCAGCGTTGAGTTGAAATTTGCAAAACACATCACCTGCTTAAATTCAGCCAGCAAAGTGGCTGTTAAAAGTCTCAAGGCACCTTCCAGAAACAAAGATGGTCACCCTATCCTGAACATATTTGAATCACAAGTTGTTCAAAGAAAGAAGTTGAAACTTGAATTTAAAAATTAGATACAAATTCAGAATTTTCAGGTGTGTTTTGGTGAGTATTGTAATCCAGGCCTTCACAAACCAAGCCAAAGTCATGTAAGGAAAACTTTCTATTTTTGATGCTTTCTTGGAACTACAAAAATATAGGGGGTTGTCAAGAACCTGACAGGCCACAATCCATTTCTGCATTTTGCCTGGTGCATCACAAGCTGTGCAGTCTGTCTTAACCTGTGCCAAGACTTGTAAACAACGAACATCATAGTTTGTTCAGAAAGAAGAACGCTGTGATGTTTGCAAATTGCTTTAAAGTATTAAACTTCAAGATCTTGTTACAGAAAATCACATTCTCTTGTGATAACAGGAATATAGCTCTTGTTTATTTTTGCAAGTAAATATATGTTTCAATAATATTTTTTAAACAATGCTAATTTGAGGTATTTTAAACAATATTAATTTGAGTGCCATTGCACTCCTGTGGCACAACAACAGGTGATAAAGAATGAATAATTTCAAGGTAGGTTCGCCAAAATTAAAAAACCTGTTACAATAGGTGCTGAATCAAATTAGAAGCTTGGAAAGATGGAGCCCTGTTTGCCAAGTCTCAGTTCAACTTTGCAAGGAATCTTGATTTATGTGAAGCATTTAGATTCTGATTTTCCAATAAGTTCAAAAGAAAATGGTGTTAAAAGGATAAATTATTGTTTGATTTATAACCATTCAATTGCTTATCATGCAACATTTTATGTGGGTTTAAGCCAATTTACCTCACTATGCCTATTGGAATATAGAGTTATAATGCCCCTCTCCATGTGTCTCCTCAGAAGTAAACCCCACTTTCAGTGTCTTGTAAGTGTGTTTAGGATTGCAGCTATAGTTCTTGACAGGGAGTAGGAAATCTAATATGTAGTGGGGAGCTTGTGCAGTTGTTCAGAACTCTGTATGAATTGTACATGCACTGTACTTCCAAACTCTTACGTTATAACAACATCACTATTTTTTATAGAATTGACTTGTCAGTCAAAATGAAATATGCATAGAAATTAGGCTGGAAGAATGCAATATGATGTCAGTTAATGCTTGAATGAGAAATAATGCTCTCATGGTTGCCTGGATACAAATAAGATGTGTGTCATAGAGGAAGGCAAATGTAAATGAATGAACAAATGAGTTGTCAACTTTAGCTTTGGAGTCTGATAAGGGCAAGGGAACTGCTTGTAAGATGGATGACTTGCAAGATTCATCAGTGTACTTTGTATGTCTTTGGACAGTTACTCAGCTTTTCTATTTGATTTTGAATAACTTAGGTGGAGTTTTTTTTTTTTTTAAATTGAGTCCTCATTATTAAGGCTCAGGGTGGTTTACAATATAAACTTTAACAACAAAATTCCAAGCTAAATAAAACCTAGTGAACACTTGTTTCTATTTAAGAAGCCAGTGCAAATTGAAAGGGGTTTTTATTGTTGTTGTTGCTTCTACAGGGGATCAGAGTCTAGCCTTTTGGCAAGTCTAGTTAAAAGGAGCTCCCTGGGGCAATCACTGGCAACATTTTAAAGTCCTTTTACCTTTCAGACAATGACCAATCAATAAAAACTGAATATTTTTTAAGGAAACTAGGTAGCAGGAAAGCCTAGAGATAAAATAGCCCCAAACCCTATAGCACATCAGACAATCCATACCAAATTTGGGCTGCTTGCCTCTTTAGGGAGGAAATAGCTTGGTGTTGTAATTGAGCTGTGGCTGTCTCACAACCTCACCTGCTGTAATTCAGAGGGCATGGGACTAATCAAAATATGATGAGTGATGTCCCACAGCAGGCTCTTATGGAAGAAGGCTGGCCTTGAGATATCATGGTCCCAGACAATTGTAACGTGATGATCTTCTTCCTGGAAGACACTGTGATGCTCTAGAGCACTGGGGATAATGGTGCTCAAAAATTTACCATTCCATGAGATGGACTGCAGCTCTCTGCAAAAGCTGAAGGAAGCCAGAGGCATCAGTCAAGCTGCAACTATAGTTAGCAGTCTTCATTTAGCACAGAACATACCACGGAACAATTCAGGCCCTAACTGCCCTTGTGTGTGAAAGATTTGCAGCAGTTCCTTTCCTTTAAGGCCAAGGTCACTTCAGCAAATGCATGACCCCAACTTTACATCTTAGATGATGGGGAATAGGGGGAGATTCCTGTACTGTACTTGGCAATTTTCTTCTGCAAATGAACGCTGAAGTCGGTTATGTTCAGAGCTGGGGGGGGGGGGGAGAAAAGAACTTAAACAAATGTTACAGAGCAGTCCTGTGCATGATTACTCAGAAGGCCAATTGTCTTCATCAGGGCTTACTCACAAGTATTTGTGCTTAGAACTGCAGCTTAAGATTTTGATATGCATTACTGCTTGACTGAATTAATCTTGGTGAATTCTGTGGAACTTTCCCTACGGTAAAGGTTCAATTGTTCTGCATATACTTATCAACTCTATATGAAAAGGTTTCTTGTCATTGATCTGTGGGTAATAAAGTTATTTTTAGCCTTTAGGCAGTATAGATGGAGTAACTGTTGCTTTTTCTTTTCAATTACAGCAGGAAAAGAGTCCAGAGAATTCAAGGAATAAAGGTATGTTGCTATGGTAGTAGTTTTTATTTAATTGCTTATTTATGTTTAAATCTTTATAAGCCATATTTTCTGGCTTATAAAGTCTACCCAAGTTGATGAACAAAGTATAGAATGTTTTTTAAAAATAATTACCGACTTTATTTTTATCACTAATTGGAGGCTAATATACTAGCACTGCATTTTTACTCACAGTGCAGAGATAATGCTACCTTTCCTTCTGAATATATGAAGACCTGAATGGAATCGGCTATAGGAAATAAGGTTTTGGTTTGCTTCTGTTGTATGAGGATAGCTAATAAACTGTATAGCAGCATATTTATGGAAACTTATTACTCTTAGTAGCAGCATAAGATAAACTGCTAGTGTGTGTCATGGCAGAATGTATAAATTGAGGCGTAGTTGGTCCTGACTCTGTTTCCTAAACTTACACCAAGTAGAAACTGTTGTATGGGATTAAATCTGTACCTATGGCGAGACAAGGAATATTGCCAATGCAAATGAGCTTTGTCCAGAAGCATCTGTAATACAAATAAGTAAAAGGAAATAATTTATCGAGTAAGCATTTCTTGGTGTAATTAGTGCAAAATATTTTAGTTTCACAGATCTGATCACACTAATTGAAGACCTCTTCATTTGAATTGATACAGAATGCTGTAATATTTGCTAGCAGTAGTAGTAGGATATGTAACAAAGTTAGGTAAAAGTTTCCTTGCCCAGAACAACAGATGTGTGTAAGCCTTGTATAGAAGAAACAAATCAAGAAATGTTGTGTTTGCATCTTGCACATGCTAAAATTGGGTTGAAAAATATTTTATTTTTAGGATTTCAGAGCAAACTCTATATATATATATAACATGGTAAGGCCTGTGTTTTGTTGCTGTGGTGAGAGTTCTCAAACATGCTTAGCATAAAAAGTATCTTTAAAATGAAGCTTTTATTAGTCACCTTCAGGCATTCAGTATGAAGTTAAACAGTAATGAAAGATGTGTTCAGGTGGCAGCACTCGCCACTCAGCCATATTAGCACTACTTACTAGGAGAGATGAGGCAGCAGTGAGGTTGGTGCAGAGCAAACACACCAGCAGAGCTACTCTGGCACTTCTACCAGTACATTTGCACCAGGCCAGCCTTGATGCTCCCTCTCTGCCTCTCAGTATGCAGCAGCAATGTGGGCAACCGGAGATCTGGTGAGCGTTGCCACTCTACTATGCCATCTGCTAGTGAGATTATATAAATGCTCAAGGTGGGACCATGGAAATGAGCACACTAGTTCTGCCCTTCCCATCACCATTCTCCTTCTCCTCCATGGGAAAGTGGGGAGTCTACTACATTTGGAAAGTATTGAGAAAATGTCACCCCCTGATGCAGAAATATATGTAATGTTTTACATATGTCATAACACACAGCAGACATGCATATCTCAGCCAACAGATATTTACAAATTGGTTACCTTGCTGGGGCATTCACTTTCAAAGTTAATGAATTTCCATAGGGGAAATTAGACTGGATTTCACTTTATTGGGCTCCATGATCACTGCAGATGGTGACAGAAGTCACAAAATTAAAAGATGCATGCTTCTTGGGAGAAAAGTGAAGACAAACCTAGACAGCATCACCTCGCCAACAAAGGTCCATAGAGTTAAAGCTATGGTTTCCCCAGTAGTGATATATGGAAGAATTGATGCAAAAGAATTGATATGCCAAAGAATTGATGCTTTTGAATTATGGTGCTGGAGGAGACTCTTGAGAGTCCCATGGACTGCAAGAAGATCAAACCTATCCATTCTGAAGGAAATCAGCCCTGAGTGCTCATTGGAAGGACAGATCCTGAAGCTGAGCCTCCAATACTTTGGCCCCCTCATGAGAAGAGAAGACTCCCTGGAAAAGACCCTGATGTTGGGAAAGATTGAGAGCAGAAGAAGAAGGGGACGACAGGACGAGATGGTCAAACATGAGTTTGACCAAAATGCGGGAAGCAGTGGAAGACAGGAATGCCTGGCGTGCTCTGGTTCATGGGGTTTGCAAAGAGTTGGACACGACTAAACAACAACAAAAAGCAAAACCAATAAAGAAGCCTGCTTTTGAGTACACATGGTTAGGCATGGTTAGCCTTATTACATATAGGCTGCCTCTAGCAACAAGCAACTTACACAAAATCAGCAAACCACATTACAAAAAAAACGGAAAAGCAGCAAGGCACCTGACAGGATGGTGGCAATTATACATCAATGAATATGCCAATAATATACATTGTAGAGCAATATATGTATCTATTAAATATAAAGATTTTAAAAGCTAAAACTAAGGTAGAAGGCATGTTACAAGGGTTGCTGCTATGATGGTGGTTGAATGGGCAGATGGATGGAAATCTGCATGGCAGTCCATTTTCAGTGGGTTCTTCTGACATTCTTAATTGACTTCTAATAAGCACATGGGATACATACATGTATATTCCTCATGTCACCTATTCTAGAGTTCCCATCTACAGCTGTGGGAGAGCAGATATATCCACCATGTGGAAGCAAGGGCTTCCCCATTAATTTCAATACAGGGCAGCTCAATCTATTCATCTCTTTGCACATGCAAAGCTGTTCCCTTCATTGAAGTTAATGGAAGCTCTTGCCAGCACATATGCTCACCAGAGCACTGATGCCTACAAGGAATTAATGGATTAGGCTTAAAAAGAAAATTGAGAATTGGTGTGCGTCAGCTTTTCCCCTCTCCCTCCTCAATTAAATCCTGTCCTTCAGAATTCATCATAGAGCTTGCTCTAAAAAAAAAAGATGGTCACTTGCTTTGTAGGTTTAAGGAGGTGTTAGTAGTACAAGTTCGTAGATTTGTGAATGCTTAAGTTCATGCCTATTGTATCTCCCTCTGAGATACCTCATACATGTTGTCTTCCACTTTCACAGCATCAAATTATCTAGAAAGCATTTTCTCCCTGCACAGCAGCTGATAGTAAGCAGGCTCTTAAGAATGATTTCTGAGCTTGCTGCTTCCATGCAGTGCTGTATATGTTAAAGGAGGTCAGCAGCACTCTGCAAGTTGGCAGGACCCAGCATGCTCAGAGGTTCATTAGGTCTTCAATTTAAGAGACTAACCAAGTATACAGTTGTCAAAGACCTGTAAAATATTTCCAACAACTCTATCCATTAAAGTCTGCCAAATCTAGTTTGGGGAACAAATCAATGACTCTCTAGCAACCATATGAAGCACTGGTTTTGCTGCAATGGAATGTTCATGCTTTGATACCCAGAATTGCATCTGATTTTTTTTCCTCCTGAATTTTGCTGCATGCTCTTGGCATGTCTTGATTTGCACTGAAACATCAACATTTACTTGAGGGGGTGAGACACTGAAATACAAGACATACTTTGAATAAAAAAGTGATCCATTTTTCTACATATTGTTTGCAATTTAGGAAAAAAATATGCTTGTGGTTTTCTATCGCTTTTTGTGTGCGTTTCTTCAGGGAATTGATGTAGGCATAATGTTTCAATTTTGTTATCAAACTTCAAATCCTGGTTTCAGATAGTACTACACCAAAACTGACATCCTGTTTCTTGAAAGTTTTATTCCCTTGCTTTAGATTTTTGTTTTTTAAAAATAAATCAGTACATCAGGGCTTACCTTATCGCGGCTAGGTAGTGAGGGAGTGTTTCTCCCAGTCAGCATTCCTCCAACATTCTGCTTTCTGATCTGTGAAAAACCTGCATGGAGAAGATACATCACGACATCTTCCTCTAGGTTTTAATTGAAGAGTGGAAAGCTGGGCAAACTAGCTACCAAAAGTGCACGAGATCAGTGAGTGATATTCAACTAAGTCTTGTTCCGAGTAGACACATTGAAATGAATGAACATGACTAAGGCTGCATACCTACAAGGGGATGGGGGTTAATGAAAACAATCAGACTTATTTCTGAGTGGACACTTAGAGGATTGCCTTGACAGGTCCATGCATTTCAATAGGTCTACTCAGAGTAAAATTATTTGCTTGAAACACGGTGTTTGCTTATTTTCTTTCTTTCTTTCTTTCTTTCTTTCTTTTTTCTTTCTTTGAGAAAAGTCATTTTAACTCAAAAAAAGATGAAATATTCCACACAGTAAAAAGCCTTCACTTAAAAATAGCTGTCAGAAATACAGTGGGCAGCTTCTCTATCGTCTCACACTTACAGGAAAGCCCAGCTGAGGACATCATAGGGTTTTCAGAAAGAGCAGACACTCAAGCAGGCTGCAGCATGTAAACCACTGAAAAGACAATTTGCAGAATAAAGGAAAACAAAGCCACTTCAAAAGGGAAGCAAGTGCAATAAAAACAAACCCAAACAATTCCTATCAAAATTATCACTCCCCTTTCATAATTTCCAAACACAATTTCTTTTCTCATTAACTGGTGGACAATGATCATTTATAAAAAGTTTCAAACCCTAGCTAGGAATGTGAGCTCTGGTTAAAAGTAAGCATGGTTTAGCACTGGTGGCAATATGATCCTGAACTGTGATTAAACCAAGTATACGGGATTTGGCTCAGGCTTTGAACTCCTACTATAAATGTTTTTATTTCCATTCGGTTTGTCTTAGAGGTTGCAGAGCAGTAGCCGATAAGTTTTGATCCACATATTGCAGATGGCAATACTGCTTAGTATAATTTGATGGTGGGCGGTTACTACTTGCAGGGTCCCTTTATATGTTTATTACCGATCATTTCAGTTTTATTATTTTGGGTAGTATTTTATTTATGGGCAGCACTGGAAGAAATAGAACTGAGCTATGTCTGCATATTTCGTATTTTAGCTGTTCTCTGGCCTGCATGAGTACAATTCAGAAATGTGGCACACAAGTGTACTGTAATATAAATAAGCTACAGTGGATTGGATCCAGATGGGCAGCCTAACCCAAAGATCATTGGAATCAATAAACGGTAAAGGGACCCCTGACCATTAGGTCCAGTCGTGGCCGACTCTGGGGTTGCTGCGCTCATCTCACTTTATTGGCCGAAAGA